CTGTCGTACCTCGTACCTCGGCACGAGTGCGTACACTAGCTAGCACTTCCAGACCGAGACACCTCCAGTGCTCGTAGCAGCTAGGCAGGGGCTACCTAACAGCTCGCACGGACAGCTCATGTTTTTTTCGCGGTGTGGCAGGTCCGTGGCAGGTCCCCTGTCGCCCAGAGAAAATCTCTAGCCTCCGGCTAGCTGATCTCCTTGCACAGCCGTGGGCTACCGCGGGCCTAGCTTACGGGCTCTTCGAGAACCTCGTAGCGATGGGCTGGTCCTCCTCACGCTGCCCAACCCTTTATAGTAGCTGGGCTCATGGGTGCGGAGTCGACCTAGCACCCGCCACTCTCTAACGCTTCCCCGTCCAGAGCAATCCGGAAGTTCGGGTCGAAGCTAGCAAAGTTCTCATTCGCGCGGTCGTCCGCTGGCTGATTCAGGTCTCGTCGAATCCACTGTAGCTGCAACTCACAGTTCTTGGCAGAGAGTTCCTGGGCTAGCTCCATGAGGATTAGCTGGAAGGGAACTTGGTCGTCATCGCCTTCCTGAGTACCGCCTCTTTTGCTTGCTGAGTTCTCGCACCACGCTTCGGGCACATGGTGTGCCGGTTCCTCGAAAGCACTCTTACCAGCAGCCGCTGTACAAGAGCTGGCAGAGAACTCGAAGCGAAACACGTTCTGAAAGACAACTAGAAGGTATGAAAAGAACATGCGACAGCTGTCGAAACTGACTGAGAAGTATGTAAGGTCGACACGAACTGACAAGTGTCTGACAACGAGGGCAAAGTGGTCAAAGCTCCCTCAACCTACGAGCCAAAAGCACTTGGTGCGGCTCATCTTGATCCAAGCCAGCCCAGGTTTGTACAGATGAGGACAGGCATGGATCTAGCTAGACCGGAAAGTACAGTCAAGCTACACGTTCAAGGCTCAACATCGACATGAACTGCACAGCTGAAATCGTTGTTGAGGTCCCGTTACTTTACAGTTGTCTGTACAAACTACGCTCAGTTCACCTTGCCGTGGGAGCTCAGTGGTTCGGTTGCGACGGAACAGCCAGGAGCCACTCAGGTCTCGTTGGACTGGCTGTCCGCGTACCCCCGTATGGCCACCCTCGAGGTCTCCTTAGCGTCGCCGTCCACCAGTGTAGCCAGAAGCTCTAGCGCGGCGATCACTTTGTTCCTGAACAGCAGAGGACCATGCGTGTAGCGGTTCCAGGAATGGGCGCTCCCAGTCTGGCGCAATGGCGACGCCGAGTCTCCCTGGCTAGTCCCAGCTTCCAGGAGGGATACTCCGTCTCCACCCCTAGCCACTCCACACGGAAACCCCATGCATCTTAGTCTTAGCCCACTTGAGGGGAAAACCCAGCGCAGCGAGAAAGAGATAGCTGAGGGGGATCCCTCGTCTCCCTTTATTTAGCTCCACGGCCCTCCAGATCGTCCGCGTAAAGCAACATGTCCAGAGGGAATCTCGCCCCTAGCAGGTCGTAGGTTTGCCGGAGGCCACAAGCAGCGATGCGCGTCCACGAGTAGACCGTCTGTGTAGCAGGGTCGCCGGGTACCTTGTCTTCGGTATCCACTTCGCACCCAAGGTAGCCGTGCTCCTGCGCAGCGCGCTTGTAACCACGGTGGGCCTCAGCAATGTCCCCCAGCACGGAGAAGGCGACCTCGTCGGCCTCCTCATGTTCGTCACCGCCGTCGCCGCTGCCGACAACGTCGCCACCGTCACCTCCGGTGCCGCGCGCACTTGCCACCTGCACGCGCAGTGTGCACGTGCCGTGGGTTCGGACAGCATACAAATAAGCAAGAGAACACACACAGCCACAATCCGAGATTACACCCCCACCAACACCCAACGCAACCCCCGTGCCCCTGCTTAAATGCCATTTGTGACTAGATGGATGGGAGCGGGAACGTAAAGCTTTGTAACCAACCGAGTTGGTGAGTCGACTTCGTGGTGGACTCGTCAATCTAGAGGAAGATAGCGCTATCAGCTCCAAGGACCGATGCTCGCCCGCCAGACGCTATAGAGACACACCTGGCGAGCTCTCGAGACCTGATCTTGTCCCGGCACTCGATCCGGTGGTTCATGCGGAGCCCGTGTGTAGCATCGTGGATGATCCGTTTCTTGCCCTTAGCTTCGTCCTCCACGGCTACAGCCATTGCTGCAATAGCTCTGTGCTCCCGGTAGCGTTCCTGGAACTCGCCCAGGGACATTTTAGCCATGAGGCCCTCCTCCACATCCTCTTCGACTTTTGTCTATCGAGCTTTGCCCTAGCGAAGTCCCTGTGGTCTTCAACGGGCCCGTAGTTCGGGACCCAGGCTAGCGAAGCCTCCCAGGCAACATTCTCCAGAGGCCACTCTAGCTGCTCTTCACAACGTGCTAGCGGGTCCAAAATGCCCACGGGCAGCCCCTCCTCCGCTTCCCGAAAGAAGTCACGGTCGGGGTTCCCAGCCGCCTCTAGCATCGCACGGATGAGCTTGAAGTATAGCGGTTACCTCCCTTCCAACGGCGTCTTTAGCAGAGTGCGGGAAAAACGAAAGCAGCAGAGCAGAAAGCCACTTGCACGTCTTCGCGGGCCATTGTTCGGACCCAGTGGTCTTGAAAGCTCCCTTAAAGCCTGGCAACAAAGTCGGGCATTTCTAGCGGCGTCTGCTTTAGTAATTGGATGCGTATGACTGCGGATATGTATGGGTTACCGTCCGTACTCGTAAATAACTACATGGTGTACGCGCTTTGCGCGGCCACCGGCCGGCAAGCACATGAGGAAGCGACGAGGAGCCGTTCGCATCGCAGTTTACAGGTTGTTCGGGCTTGCGGGCAAAGCAGCAAAAAACCGAGGGAAAAGCTATGGGTTAAGGCAAACAAAACCCTAGAAACGTGGTGGTCGCGCAGAGCGCGGGGTCCAACTACATTGCACTTTGTAGAGCCTTGCTTAGCACGCGATGCATGACTAGGCAGCCATTACTACGACCTGTGACAAACTTCAGATCTGCATCAACCAGGAAGGACTCTTGCTTGCCTCGGCATTTGGACCTTCAATGGGTGCCTTGGTTCAGTTGATCGGTACCAGGCCGACAGATCGTAACGGCCATCGCTCAAACGTTGATGTACTGAGAACGCTGCCACGAAGGCAGCGCTTGCCAAAGGCTCCTGCAAGATTGCAAATCCCATCTAATGCCAACTGGAGATGATTCCAGAAATGATTGTTTGCTACTTGAGCTACGAAGCAGAGCAGTCTTTTAAATGAGGAGCTCCTGCTCGAGCGGCATGGTGTTGTCAGCAGCGCCCTCTTCCAGCAGAGCTGCCATAAGATCTTCCTCCGCAAAGCCTCTTGCTCAGGCAGGTCCCTGCTGCAACTCCAGCATTCATGTGGCATGCCTGCCTTCTTGCATCTCAGCCTCGACAGGCCGCAGCGCCTTAACCTTGTGGCTGAGAGAGAACGCAGCAATCACTGCCTGCCACCACCAGCCTCCGGTTCCATGATCTCGTCATATTCCAGCTGTCCTGGTGCCATCTCCTCGCCAGTCTCACGTGAAAGGTAGATTTCGGCTTCACCCACTACACCGCTCTCCTTCATCTTTGCTCCGTACTTCCGGATCCTGGCCAGCAAGTACCTCAGAGCTCTCAGCTCTGCTCCGAGATGCCCTGGACATTTGGCCCAAGACCGAGGAGGGTACTCATCATCCCGCCAGGATCGAGGCTTCTTTTTGCCACTCGCTTCTGCTGTGTGCCTCCAGTGCTCAGAGCGATGGAAGACACGGCCGGCTGTGCTTGGCTTGTGCCGCCTGGCCGTCGTCAGATCCACGAGCAGGGGCTTCCTGTGACATCAGGCAAGACACCTTCCCGCCCCACAACGCGCTAACGTAGACTTCCACAAGCCGCCTGATGATTTCGTGTACAAAGTTCTCCTCGAGGCAGACACGACAAGATGCCGGACATTGCTGAACCCTCTACTGTTGCTCTCTCATTCTTCTCATGATCTCCTTGTGCAACTTCATGGGCAAGTATAGTCCAGAGAACATATTGCCAACCTGGCACATGCGGGTGGCCAGTTTGAGCGCAGTTCTGGCACAAGGATCTCGGCGCAGCAGCTCAGGCACCTGAATGAAGCGTGTCCCCTCTCCGCGAAGAGAATGGTACCAGTTGAAACCTCAAAGAGGTTTCCGGCCGTTCCATGTGCAAGCGCCCGTGTAACCGTGTATCAGTTGGGAGCCCGGCCGCCGCTCTTGATTTCCTCTGGCGTTGCACGATCCAGCAGCTCCATCACCTGCCACGGTGCGCTGTCAGAAACAGCTTGGAACGCTCCGGCAGCATGAGATGAAGCAAGCTGTAAGGGCTGATATGCATCCACAGAGAAGGACGATGAACTACTTCGGGAAAAGATGCTTGCAGGATCGAGTTGCAGGGAATCCACATCTGCCAGTTGCCGCCTCAAAGACGAGCTGCCTTTAACTCTTTAACGAATGCCAAACATGTTCTACTGGATTTAGTTGCTCAGTCAAGTCTCTTTGCCTAACCCTCCCCACGGCCTCCAGCCGCTCTCTGTACTCCTCTGCCCGTGTCACAACGAGCCTTTTCCAGAGTTAACCCATGCCAGCGGCTAGCAGCAACGGCCAACCCGCAGCCAAGAGGACACGAGAGCTGGGTTCATGACTCTTCCTTGTCCCTACCGGTCCTGAGCTCTCTAAGCCAGTTTCCGTACCCGGCTACCGTGAATCAGACAACCTGAGCTGCGAGCTTGCGAGAGGCATGATGCCGGAACTTTTCCCACTCTTCTTGCCTCATATGCGGCATTGTGTCACTCGACGCCGGGGCCAACAATGCCTTGCCTGTCAAGTCCTGTTCCTCTCACGTCCTCCCACGCCCCTGTACCGAGAAGTAGGCTGCTGCGCAAAGCGCTCCAGGGCACGATCGTACCTCCCAAATCCGAAACTTAGCCTGGAACATCCTTGCAAGCACAGGCTGTTCTCGGAGCCTCTTGGCCACTATCTGCTCTTCCAAAGTACGCGTCTTCAGACTCACTGTCTTCCTTTCCTTGACCTTCACTGACTTGGAATGCTTGAAGACTTGAAGACACTGCATCACCTATCCGTGCACATGAAGTTGTCATGCCATGCAACGGGCCTTCGGCGGAAGCACCTAGCATGATTGAAGTTTGATATCTTGGCACGAAGGTCAGTCATGTGTACGGCGTTCGCAAGCAGGAACCCATCTTTTTGAGGGTTGCACAGTAGGGCCGCCAGGCGAAGATGTGGACATCCGCAAGCCACGACCGGCTGGCATCATCTTCGGCGAACTGTTGGCAGGACTCCTGTTCATTATCTTCGATGTGAAAGCAGCTGAACCATCTATCTGGACTGGCTTCGAAGTGCATCCAGGGCCGGCACAACTCCGGATCTGGCGCATCAAGCTCCTCCTGCTTGAACGACAGGACATGACAGGAGCCCAGTGGGACCACATGAGAAAGCTTTCCTCTGCCAAGTCCACAAATTGTTCTGATTGTGGCGGCAGAGGGTCGGATGGGTCCAGACCCAAATTTTCCATCTTTGCCTGCGTCTAACTGATGGTCACTTCGCACATCCCTTCGGCTTGCCCGTTCTGTCAGTGCCTTGTGTCTTTCGTAGGTTGAGGACGACACCTAGCCACTGGCGATCAACTCAAAAAAACGCTGCGCTGCAGCTCATCGGCCTTCCTCTTGATGACCACTCGACGACGTGGCTGTGGCCTGCGAGATCAATCGCGTCGCGAATGTCACGATCCGACTGCATTGGCCTGGACGTCATCTCCGGAGCTCCAGATGGACCTAGGCGATCGTGCAAACACTTTGAATAGTCCTGCCATCACTCACTGACACTACTTTATGATACTTTATGGTCCTTCACGTCCCTTTTCTTGACAGGCCTGGGTCCGCGACGACTCGGACCCTGAGTTGCTTGCATACCATGAGTGACATTCACGATCAGCTTCAAAGATCCACACCACTGAAGTGCCTCCATGGTCTCGGTGTGGTGTCAGGCTTCGGAGAGCATGGCACACTGCGCTGGCTCCACTCTGACTCTTTCCATCTCAGGGATGACTCGGGTTTGGGGTGCCGTCAGGCCAGGGGTAGGCTCAAGTTGAAATCCGACATCAGGGCTGGCCGCTTGACGAGCAATAAATGACACTGGCGCCGACCAAATCGAACGACTCACTTCCTGCTGACTGAACATGCCTGAACAGTTGAGCAAGCTCGAACCTACGGCCTGCAGCCGCTGAAACTCATTTTTCCACGCCGGCTGCGCTTACACGGCACTCTGCCGCAGCGTCGCCAGCCTGGCAAACTGCTTCGGACTACGGAGCATCTCGCTCTCTCGCAAGACCGATTGAGCAGGTTGCCGAGGCCCCTGCCCACCAACCAAGTTCCTTGCCTCCGCAGCTGTTCGCCATAGACCCGCTTCCGAGGAGTTGGAGTCCCTGAGGGTGCAAAGATGTGCAAGGGGTGCTCTTGGGGTGACTCGGTGATCAGCCGCTCCGGCCTTCCATCCACGTCTAGCATCTGTAGCCGAAGGCTTTCCGCGAAGAAGCCGGAGTCTTGACTTTGCCTCAGTTCTCAATGCGTCACAGCGGACAGCCTCAGGTCTACCCTAAACCCAAAAAGCGGAAGTCCAACAGTGACCCAATCCCCTAATCCCGATGAGCATTGTAAGGCATGGGCTCGACTTCTGCGCAGGCCACGCGGAAAGCACCGGCCTCTTGAAAGCCAAAGCCAAAGCTAAGCAGTAAAGTCCCAGAGGCGTCTGGGTTTAGCCGAGCTGGGACAAAGTCGGAGTCCTAATCAGCCTAGCTCCTGCCATTAATCCCTCCCCGCTTTCATTAAACACCCCAAAAATATTTAAAAAAAACACATTGGAGCGAATCCTCTCGAAATAATCCCTGCCCTTTGAAACCTATTCTGAATTAGGGAGGAGGGTTTCAGGCTCCAAGTATGCTTAGAGAAGAGAGCAAAACCAAGAGCAAGAGCAAAAGCAAAAGCGGGAGCAGCAGCAAGAGCAAAAGCAAGAGCGGGAGTAAGAGCAAGCGCAGTAGCAAAAGCGAGAGCAACAGCAAGAGCAGCAGCAGAAGCAGAAGCAAAAACGACCCCTCGAAAGTGGCAGTAGAGATAAAAAATACCCCCTCATGAAAACACTCTCCGAGTTTTTATTGGGGGTGGGGCGTTTAATATAGGGGAAGAGATTAATCAGCCCCCTGCAGATCGCCTGCCGGACAAAGCCAACCGTTGGGCAACCGCGCGTCTGCCTGCAGTTCCCCACGGGGGTCCTCGACGTGCAAAGCGCAAGCGCAGACAATCTCTGCAGTGGTTCCTCGCCGGTGCCTGGTGCCATCCGACTCCCATGAGAATCCCACAAAGCACTCCCCAGCTGTGCAGGGAGCTCCCGATGACCACCTCCTGCGCGGCATAGGCAGTGCGCCCGAAAAAAATTGCAAACTGCAATGGCAAAAACTTGGCATAATGCTGCTTGCATAATGCTGCTTGCAGCGCAGACATGTCAACCATCCAGGCGGGCGCACACGCTTTGAAGTTGTGGCACCGAAGAGGGGAACTGCACAGGTTCGTGAAATAGGTCCTGTTGGCAGCACACTGCAACAGCACATTCCGCGCAGCCTGTGCTGATCATGTCTCGCGGTCCGCTGCAACAGCTCCGCGCCCTCTATGATGCGAAAAGGCTGCCCCATTGGCACCACCTCGCCTTCAAGGACATCAAACAGTGCTGCTTCCAAGTCGCGAGACTGAAGTCAACGGATCTTTGACACTCAAGTCCCTTGCCTGCTGCTTGGCACGGCCTCTATCAAGGAGTCCTGGCACCGTGTCTACCAGCATGGTTGTGTGGTGTACTTTCGAGCAGAATGAACTAGACATTAGAACCACTCTCTGATCACATTTGATCAGACATGAGTGCCAATCATCCTATGCATGGGCATGCATTTGCAAGTGTGCAGATGAGCACTTGCCGCAGCTCGGTCCGCGGAGCAATTCTCGGCGAGGTAGAAACGCAAAGCCAACAGATCCCAGGCTTCACCTTAGGTGCCGCTTCTCTCCCTGCAGCCGGCCGTCTCCCTCAGAGCCCGTGGCCAACAGGTGAAGATGCGACGATGCGCCAACCTGGCCAAATGCGGCAAGAAAGGTAGTGGCTTATGATGCTCGCTATTTGCGCGCCATTCACCAAATGTACTTGCTCAAGGGTCTCCTGCCTCTCTGCCCTTCATACGCCCCTTTCTTAGAGAGTGCAACCCTGCGATCTCTTGGAGAGCAAACTTACTTTTACTCAACTTCAATCGAACTCAGTCGACCCTTCTAGAAAAAAGACGCATCCTACAGCAAGCAGGCCGGGCTTGCTGTGCGATGCAAAGCCCTTTCTGAAACAGCACATCTGGCAGCTCAATGGCAAAATAATGTATCATCAGCTGCTCAGATGCTCATTGCAGAACTATCTGCCTCTGCATCGGACGAGTTACATGCCCCAGCACAGAATGTGCTGTCTGCATCCCATCGTTGCAAGTATCCAGTGGGACACTGCAGACTGGTGCACCTCGGACATGGAAAATTAAGGGAAATGAACCTCGAACCCATGGGCCCCAGGGGCCGTTGAGGCCGCAACGGCATGTCCAGCTCTTGGGTATTACAATCGGCCCACCAAGACATGGACATTAACCCCGCGAACACCTAGGCTTCCGTCTTGTAGCTGAGAAACCCTCTGATCAAGACACTTCGATGCTCTGTGACCGCTGGGGCTTCGGCATGCCTCTTTTTGAGGCTGCATCGAGCCATGTATATGCCGCTTTCTGCTAGCGGCTAGCGCTGTGTACTCGGATGCTCCGCTGAGGCTGCTGCCTGTGTCGAGCTGCTGCCGTGAGGTGCTACAGAGTGTCCACACACAACATCAGGAACGAATCTTGCACTTCACATTATGGGTTCTCCACTTCACAACATGGGGGCTAAAGCCACTATACTTCCGAACGCTGCCGATGCGGCGTTTATTCCTGGTGCAAGGCTGTGAGTTCAACTTTTTGCTTCAGGGCTTCCACAGAGGCCGATGCTACAGTACTTCGAAACATTGGCATCCCTGGTCTCAAGATCCATGTCTTCTTGTCGGCAGTAGAACTTCGAAATTCGCGTAAGTTGTCTTTGTTGCTTCTTTTCTGTTTGATGGGTTTCACTATCACTGGAAGCCCATGCGATCCTGCGTTTTTTCTGATGACCTTCTTCGGCCAGCGGCGATGGGTTGCTTAGACAGACACATTGGTCGACTCCCTCCCAGCAAGAGATTCCAAAAGCAAGCAGTAGTTGGCAGCGCAGGCTCTACAGTCTGGTGGGCAGTTGCCGAAGCGGACAAGAGATTCCCGTCAAGTCTGCATCCCTTCCTTGATAAGCCGAAATAAACTGCTTGATCTTTTCGTCCGACAGCTGATTGAATTCCTCGTCCGATGAGCGAGATGCCGCTGCTCACGGCACCTGGACTGGTGACAAAAAGCGAAACACAGGAGAAGGGCATTTGGAAAAGGAACCGGCTCGCGCCTTGCATCTTCTGCGGCACGCGCCTGAGGTTGGACCTACGAGTACGCCAATCTATGGTGAGTCTACCCGATGTTCTACAGGCTTCTCCAGACGGCTTCTCAGACTCTGAGCCGTCAGCCAACGAGCTTGGATCTTTCGAGCGGCCAGTTGCCGCTTTCTTCGCCAGCGTCGAACAAAGAATTGAAGGAGCAGCACCTCCGGAGGTTTGCGAAGCGACTGCGGAGAGAGGGAGCATACGGAGCCACTGTGCCAATCCGACAAACTGAGCTTGCAGGCTGCTCGCATCCGACGTTGCGCCATCTCTCGGCGTCGCCTCCATACTTGCTGAACCTGAGGAATTGCCACAAAATTCTGAGCCACTTCGTTCCTGCATGGAAGTCTTGCGGCCGGCCTTGGCAGCGCTCCTCTGCTGCGCGAGTGCATCTGCTTGCCGCGTCGCCTCTCAGGGCGGCTTCGTGGAGCTGGGGAGAGAAACATGTGGAAACGTGGTGGAACCAGCTTTGGAACCAGCCGCACCAAACCTCCTCCGCGGCGAGAGCCTGCTTTGCTCGAGCCTTCTTTTCGCCTCGGTCGGAGCCGCCCGGGAAAACCGCCATGCGGTCGGTGGCTTCATCGCTCCACCCACGGAGCCACACCTCGAGCCCGCTCCATCTCGAGGTCACGAAGATGCTGCGCCTTCAGAAGGGATGCCACTGGCCACTGGGAAGCTGGGTCCATGCATACGTTCACGTCAGCACTGTCCTTTTCGTCTGCACTTGCCTGCTCTTGCAGCTCTGCTTGCAGGACATCTGCTTCTGCTTCTTTGGCTGCAGCCTCACTTCGGAATGGAACCGAGGTTGCAGAACAGCTTCGACTGAGAAAGCCTGCGATTCCGCCCACAGGACCTTGCAGGCTGCATCTTCTGTGCTTTGACATGCTGCTTGCAAATGGCTCCCAAATGCATAAGCTATAGGCTGCCGGCTTGTCGTGACAAGTTGTCCGCATTGGCTCTCAGGGCCTCCAAACACGGCCACGTCCTACGGTGACGTAGACATTCTGGGACTCTGGGGCACCTCTGCGGAGACGGCTGCCTGTTCTGAGCGTTGCATCGCCTGCACAAGGAACACTTGGCAGAATCCACGAAGGAACGCTTCGAGCACACTTGCCTTGCCTTTGACCTGGCCTCGTGTCAGATGAAGCTACGGCCACTCTCACGGTCTGAGTTCCCTTTCGAAAGCTGCAAGAGGACAAGGCATCTGAAAGTACATCGCGGACCAGTGGCAGCAGTGCCTGAACAACTGTTCAACAAGGATGAATCGCCAAACAGGCCGCGACCTATTTTTCATGTGACGAGCTCAGCAAGGCCTCGGGCGACAGAGCAGGAGGAGTGGTGCCCAGCAGCTCCTGTCTTTTCAGCTCACGCTGCACCAACAAGTTCCAAACACAGCCCATGCGGATGCATCGGTTGAACCGAGTCCAATATCTGGCTTGCAACCTGTAGTAACCATCTCTCATTCTGAATTAGGACGGGGTCAGTAAGCTGGCCAAACTTGTCCCAAAATTGCTTTTCTTGCCAGGTTGACACTGTCGATTTGGTGCGAAAACCGGTCTCGCGATTTTGGAAATGCGATTGAATCGAGAGAGCTGGGCCCAGAATGTCTCACTCAAACATGCAACAATCGCGCTGCTTGCATCCTTACAGGCTCGTGGATCCTCGGTCAACATCAGGTGCTTCAATTGGATGCACGCGCAGCAAGTGCCGAGGACTTCTCTGCTGCAGCTGGGAGCATTCGGCTGCAGGCCGAGCACTAAACGTGCCGACAGAGCTACAAAGCCGTGTCGGAGGTTTGTAACAGTGACCGGAGCCATTTCTCTTGTGCGCTCAACGCTCCCCGCCCCCGACATCGGAGTTCAATTCGTTGGGAATCTGAGCCAGTCTTGAGGATCCGCGAAGTACACTTCTTTGGATGTTCTTGGCTACAAGATGCTACAAGTATCTCCTTTTCGGCAACGGGCACATGACAGCGGGACCGAGCGGATGTCCTGCCAGGTCGCGACAGGTGGCGACCATGGGCTTGGCAGACTGGACCTCAAGGTGCTTTGACAGGAAAGTTTATTGGGCTGGACCTGCTGGGCTTGGTACTCCAGAACCTCCAACCTTCCTCTCAGGACGTCGAGCTCAGCTGCAAGAGAGTTGACCTGCACAGCAGGTCAAGGCTGTGCTGTGAATTTGTGGAGAACTGAAAGTGCACTACGTCAACTGCCTCTGGTGTATCTTGAGGCAAATAGGTGTATTGCATGACTATTGCATGTATTGTCCATTGGGCTCGGAACGGCTTCGGATGGCTTCGGCCTCTTGCTCGAGCCGGGAAGTCTTGCCTGAATCGGAAGTCATTCCATGGTCCTTTGAGACGTGCAGTGACAAGCGGATGGACCTGTGCGCAGGTCAGCCGCGAGGTGTCGCCTGGAGCAAAAGCGGACGTCAGGAAAACATAGCCAAAAGCCTCACGACTGCTTCGCGTTATTTCTCAGCAGACTGCAGATGGCCCACAAACGATTGGAGCTCGTGGTGTTCCTCCATGCAGCAATCTTGTGCATGAGTTTGCCATGGTGCTTTCATGTTCGTAGTCGCAGGCAGTCCTCCGGTAGCCTCGGCATGTTGAGGAAGGCAGCAAGAGACTTCTTCTTGATCCGAAGCTGGAACAACGACCACTCGGACTCCTTCTCCAGCAAAACACGGAACGTTGCACGGCTGTTGTTTTCAGCCTTTACGCAATCTGCCTGTGGATGCTTCTCTTGCCCGAACATGCCTGCAGTTGCATGAAAGCCCCGAAGCTGCCGCTGTGCACTGGAGTGTCTTGTCACGCGCCTTCTCTTGCCGGTGCAGTTGCGCCTGCAGCCTGGCCATGCGCGATTGCGAGTGGAGCTTCTATCAACAGTCCTGCAAGCGTGGCGTGCGGATGTCCACGAGTGTGCCTCGAAGAACCGCGCGACACGCCAACGCTGAGGAAGACCTGAGCCGCATGCACACAGACACATAGACGTGCACATTGCGAATCCTACCATATGCACCTCCCCTGAGATGGGTGTCGGACCCCACTGCACGCCTTGCTTCTCCAGCCAGGACAGCACGGCCTCTAGACTCGCGAATTCGTCCTTCAGGTGTGCACATTCCGTCATCCTCACGATGTCAGCAGACCGCCTAGCAGGTCCTGCCCTCCGATGCCTGCACAGAGCTTCTCCAACTCAGCGCCGGGGGACTCCAGAGGCTCCGAAGGCCTAGTGATCCGCTCTCGCGATCTGCACAAGGCAGGTCTGCTCGCATCCCACTCTGGAATCCTGCTTTTGCATAGCACTGATGGACTCGCGGAGCTTTCTGGCGTCAGCGAATCGTAGGGTCGAATGCAGCCAGCTTGGTGGAATCTGCATCTGAAGCCGAGAAGTGAAAAGGCGCCAAAAGTTGACTGCAGCTCTTCACACGCACACGCAGACAGAACAAGGGCATTCTGACTCGATACCTTTTAGAGATCACATGTCGGAGACTCAAGGTGAAGAGCCCCGCCAATTTGGAGCAGGGCGCCAGTGATGGAAAAGCAGAGCGTGCACAGGGAGAGAGCGAAAGAGTTAGGGAGAGTGAGAGAAAGAGAGACAGGATGACAGAGAGGCAGCTTGCACAAAACACGAATTCAGTTCCGCTATGGAACTGCCTTCTGCGGCAAATGTGAGGTATGGTGGGACTCATCAGGAATCCAATGCCGAATCTGACTCGGCCAGGCAAGCTTGGAGAGCAAATGCTTTTTGTGACTGAGCAGTTTGTTCGGTCTGGACTTCTCGCAGAGCCTCTTCCCAAAAGGGGCCTCGGAGACTTATGGAGTTTCTACGAGTAACAGCTGCTTTGAAACTGCACTGGTTTTGTCGAGGCACGATCGTCGGGTGTAACTTTCGCTCCGGCCCGACTTAAGCAGCGGATCATGTCAAAGCGCCCCTCGCTTGCGGCCCAAAGAAGAGCCGTCCATCCATGCTGATCCTGCGCACGCGATCTGGCAATGCTTTGAGAAGGTCATGCATGCATTATGCGGCATGCGATGTCCTTGATCTCGAGCTTTGCCTGTGCTCCCAGAAGCAACTGCAATGCCGTGGTGCTTCCACAAGCCGCAGTGAGCATGAGGGGCGTCAAGCCATCTGCAGAAGTGTGGTTTACATCCGCTCCTTAGCTGACGGCGAAACGCAAGCATGCCGAGGCTCTGTTCCATGCGCTCAAGTGCGCATCAGTT